AGAGCCTGTACCTACAGAGCCTGTACCTACAGAGCCTGTACCTAGAGAACCTGTACCTACAGACCCCGGCCCTACAGAGCCTGATCCCACAGACCCTGTACCTACAGAGCCTGTACCTAGAGAGCCTGTACCTAGAGAGCCTGTACCTACAGAGCCTGATCCCACAGAGCCTGATCCCACAGAGCCTGTACCTAGAGAGCCTGTACCTACAGACCCCGGCCCTACAGAGCCTGATCCCACAGAGCCTGTACCTAGAGACCCCGGCCCTACAGAGCCTGATCCCACAGACCCTGTACCTACAGACTCTGCTCCCACAGACCTGGCCCTACAGACCCTTTTCCCACAGACCCCGACCTTACCAACCCCACACTGCACTGTAGACCCCAAGCCGGGGCAGGGGGCAAGGCCGGGATCCCCTGGGCCCCCCGAGGCGGGACGTCCCAGCACAGAGGGGTTTCTCCCCTGCGGGCACATCCAGCCCTTGGCACGGCTGTCTGGCACTGCCTGTGCCCAGCTCGGCCACCCAAAGCCCAGCAGCTCTCTGGAGGGGAGTGACCCTCTAGCTGTGAGCTGTTTCTGTGTAAACCCACACCTCTGTGCCGTGTCTCACAGCCCGAACGCTGCCAAAGGCCAGTGCCAGTGGCAGCGGTGCTGCCCAGGGTGGGCACTGCATGCCCTGGGAGCAGCCCCTGGGACGTACCAGCCCGCTGGCTTTGACCAGGGGCGCTTCCAGGTCCGGGTAGACGTTCTGCAGGTACCAGCGGAAGTTCCTGCAGCGCAGCCTCTCCCGCAGCTGGGTTTGCGGGCTCAGGTCGCCCACGTCCACGGCGCTCAGGAGCAGGTGGTAGGCGTGCCCGTAGAACAGCTCCTTGTACTCGTCCAGCCACACCTCTGCCACGCGGGCCAGGTTCCTCTCCACCGTCCTCACCCGGTCTTTTGGGAAGGAATAAGGGTTGTCGTTCCTGAAAATGTGCCCGACTCTGGAGCACGGAACGATCTCGATCTCTCCTCCGCACATCCAGACCTGAGGAGCAGAGGTCCCCGAAGGACAGAGCTGAGGGTGGGCGCTGCCTTTGTGCACGCCAAGAGAAGCGGGTCAGGTGCCCAGGGAGTTGGGCTGTCCCTGGGGAGTCCCTGCCCGGGGCCATCACTCACCCAGCTGTGTGACAGTGACCTACCTTGAATGAAAGCTCCATATTTTCCCCTCCCCAGACATCCAGTCCTGGGTCGTACATTCCCAACTCAGAAAAATACTTCTTCTCGATGGAGAACAGGCCACCTGCCATGACGGGGCACCTGGGAACAGAGAGGCCACACGGTGTGCCACTGGCTGTGACACAGAGGGCGTTGGGATGGCTCTACCTGGCCTGAAAACTGCAGTGGGGCAGGGAAGGGGAAAAGGCAGTGAAATGTTCAGTGAAATGTTCTCCTGGCTGACACGCCAGCAGTGCCATGCGTGGGGACAAAGGCTTCCTGGGCTTTGCCCGTGCCTGATGGGGGGATTGCCTGTGCCTCACCTGTCCTGAAAGCAGAGGAACAATACCTGGCCACAAAAGAACAGCATTTGGCCTCGAAGGAGCCTCTGCTCCTAAATTATTACCGAAGGAAGAGGTTTGTTTGCAAAGCTCTCACATTTTTTTAATTTACCTTATTATATCAGTTTCCTTGATCTTATTTTTCTCAATGACCTCTTGTGGAATCTGTCTCCATCCAAAATTCATTGGCCAAGTAAAAATCCCGCGCTGGAAGTTGTCCACGGTCATGTAACTAAACAGAGGAAAGATCGGGCTGACTAATTCTGAGTCACGTTCCTGATTGAAATGTCACCCCTAATGAGAGAAGATGAATATCTGTAGGTAATTAAACCAGGACTTTAGCAAATTTCATCAGGAATCCTCTCCATGTACTAAAAGTTGTGAAAAAGCAAAAAGGTGTGTGATAGACATGGGCCACATCCTCAGCTAATGTTAATTTTGGGTGGACAGCCACGTTCTGTGTCCCTGTGGAAAGCTCTGGAGGCCGGTGAGGGGCTCTGGAGTCACGGCTCCACGGCCTGCAGTGGATCCAGGGGCGGTGCCAGGCTTTGCCCAGGACAGCAGCCTGGATGGTGGCACTGCCAGGGCCGAGCTGCCTCACCTCCTGTATCACCTGCCTCACGTCCTGTCCTTGTCACCTGCCTCACCTCATGTCCTTGTCACCTGCCTCACCTCATGTCCTTGTCGCTGATGACCTCGATGACGGGGCAGGCGACCTTGTTCCGGCTCATGCGGACCCGCTCCAGCAGCGGCTCCAGCCAGCCCACGTTGCACTCCACGTGCGAGTCCAGGAACGTCAGCACGGCGCCTGCGGCACAGGTGGGAGCATCAGCCTCCAGCCCTGCCCTGCTGAGCAGCTCCCTCTGGGCTCGGGGTGCTGCTGACTGTGCCACGGCCCTCCTTGGCTCCCCAGAGCTGCCCAGCCACAGCCAAGAGCGTTTTTTGCCTGCTTGGCAGGGCAGCTGCTGACAGAAATGGCCTGGCAGGGGCCAGTGGTGGAGTTTAGGCTTGAGATGGTGGCAAAAGGACACCCTTGGTGCACTGGGAGGGACGAACGCCATGCTGGAGAGGGGTGCCCAGCACCTCTGTGGTCCTCACAGGGCCGAGCACGGCTCCTGTCCTACCTGTGGCGACCTCAGCTCCCGCCAGCCTGGCCCGGATCAGCCCGTGCCTCTCCCGGAGGCGCAGGATCTTCACCTTGGGGAAGCGCGACATGTACGCGTCCAGCTGCTCCTTGAGGTGCTCTGCAGAGGGACAGGGACTTGGCTCACCGCTGCACCCTCTGACACGGTGAGATGAGCGGCTTTGCCCTGGAGGTGCCTCCGGGCATGCCAGGCGCTCGGCTCTGGGTGTGAGCTCTGGGCACGGCTCCTTGTGCCCGTGCTGTGAGCTGCGAGCCCGTGGGACACAGCGGGAAATGCCACGGCCCTCAGCTGTGAAGGGTGAGCCCAGCAGAGAGGGGCAGCGTCACACCGCGGGGCTGGCTGCCGGCTGCGGCGGCGAGGCAGGCCCCGTGCGGCACAGATCGGCTCAGCACGGCTCCCACTGCCCCCCGAGCCACCCCGGAGCGTGTTCCCCACGCTGGAGCACGGGGCACCTGCCTGGGAGCTGCACGCGAGGGCTGAGAGCACCTCCTGCTCACTCACACAAGCCCTCGAGCCGGGAAAGACGAATGGTCAGGGCAGGACCCAGCTCCCTGTGCTCCTGGAGCCTCCGGCAGCCCCTGCCTTCATCCCCCACAGCCGGCCCTGGCACCCCCTGTCCTCTGATCACCCTCAGCCCCAGAGCAGGCCAGGATGCGCTTCAATACAGCGCAAGGAGAAAATGTAATTTCTCTCCTGCTTAGAATTGAATTACAGAGGACAAATTGCATTTTGCCCTCAAGTTATATTAGTTTCATAAAGGCAGCAGAAGCTTCACCTACCCTTGGTGCTGCAGTCATCCACCAGAATGATCTCCTGGACGAGGTGCGGAGGAGAGCGGCCGAGGACGCTGTGCACGGAGCGCAGCAGGGTGGACCACACCTCGTCCACGAAGCACATGATGATGCTGGTGGTCGGCAGGTCGTTGTGGACCTGCTGCTCAGAGCACCTGCAACGGCAACACGGGCTCAGGGGTGATGGCCAGTCACACCTGGAAATCTGCAGCCTTGGTGCTCCTGGGAAAGCATGGGGGAAGGGAAAATGCCCAACGCGACACACGGAGGGAAAGCCCTGCAGTGCTGGGAGGGGAGCGGGGGGTGAGGGGGGAACCCCCCACCCTGCCCCAGGGCCCCGCACATGGGCAGCCCCATGGGGCAGGATGGACTCACTTGGTTCTGACAGGAACCCCTTCTGAAGGCAATTCAGAGGTATTTCAGGGCTTCACAGTTAACCAGAAGTGCTCTGGCTAGGTGAAATTCAGCCCACAATTACTCTGTGTCACAATCCTTGAGATGTGTCCTCCTGTCTCAGGGAGGTCAGTGGGCAGAAAACACCAAAAAGTCCATTTTGGATCCAGTCTTGCCTCACCTTGTTGGGCAGCTGGTGAGCAGAATGGGTCATGCCCCCTTTGTCCTCCACCAGAGAATCCTGGAATAGTTTGGGTTGGATGGGAACTCAAATCCCAACTCCTTCCAGTGGCTCCCATGGGCAGGGACACCTTTCACTAAACCAGGTTGCTCGGAACCCCATTCAGCCTGCCCTCAAACTTCCAGGGGCAGGGCAGCAACAGCTTCTCAGGGAAACCTGTGCCAGGGCCTCGCCACCATCACGGGGAAGAATTCCCTCCCAACGTCCCATCTATCCCTGCCCCTGGCAGTGGGAAGCAACTGCTCCTTGTCCTGGCACTCCAGCCCCTTATCCAAAGCCCCTCTTCATCTCTCTTGGAGCCTTTATGCACTGGAAGGGGCTCTAGGGCCTCTCTGGAGCCTTCTCTTCCCTTTTTCCCTCAGCCCCAGGACTCCTGATCCTGTGCAGGATCCTGTGCTCCCCAGGAGCCTCCTGCCCACCACACTCCTCCTCAGGGCCCTCTCCCCACCCCAGCTGCAGGGACACAGCACCCACGGCACCAGCACTGCTGGGGAAGCTCCAAAGCAGCAAGCATTGAGCATGGGGAGGCACGGATGGGCCAGATGTCAGTGTCCAGTCCAGTACTCCAGGAAGGACCACAACAGGAGCTGGACTCAAAACTGGGAGAGACTGGAGTACACCAAATAAATAATTGTTGGCTGCCACGAGCTGCCACCACCCACTGCCCTGAGCTGCCCTTACAACCCAGTTGTGCTGGCGGGTGGGGACAGAGCCTGCACAGGCTCCTGCCAGAACCAGGGTGCCCAGGGCAGCTCCGTGCCCCGTGGCAGCAGCTCACATCCCGGGGACGCCCCTGTTTGGCCAAGGCGTTCCCGTGACAGCAAAGGTCTCCTCCAGGGCCGGAGCGGCGCTGCCAGAGGTGCTTCCTGCTCTGCAGCTCTGGGGCTTTGCTGCCAGAGCAGCCAGGGCTGGCTTGGTGCCACCGTGCCTCTGGCCCTGTGCCCAGGTGGAATCGGGAAGCAGCCCCAGCTGTCTCCCCTGCCCTGCTCTCACCTGGTGCAGGTCTCACCTCAGCCAGCACCGCCAGCACGGTGGCATGGGGGACAGTCACGGCACAATTCCCAGCCCACTGTGCCCACGGTCTGTGAGCGTGAGAACAGGGACATGGGGGTCTCTGCACGGGGCAGGTCTGTCACCTGCCCAGGGGCTGAGAGGTGTTTGTAGGAAGGGCAAGAGATGAACTTTACTGGCACTCACCTGAGCTGGCACCTTCCCCCCTCCCTGCAGCTGTCCCAACACAGAATGGCTTCGGCTGGCAGTGAGCTTTAAGGCCATCAGGTGCAGGCACCAAGCCAGCCCTGCCGAGCCTGGGGCTCCCCAGCTGCCTGTCCTCGCTGCCCTTGCCTTGTCCTGCTCTCCTCGACCGGCAGGGAGTGGCTCTTTGGGAGTGCAGGGCTGAGATGTGCAGCTCAGTTTCACATTTCTGGATGACAGCTGGAACTGCGTGACACTTCTCCAAAGCCAGCTCCACATCTCTCCCTGCACACACCCACAGGGCAGAGTCCCCCAGACTGCCTCTCCCGTCTGTGAGCACTCAGCTCATCTCCTGCAGGGTCAGTGGAGCCACAGCAGGTCCCTGCCTGCAGGGCTGGTGTCCCTTCCTCCAGGGAAGGGCCATGGCAGCCTGAGTTGTGAGAGCCCCTCTGGGCAGCTCCTGCTGCCCTCACACACCCATGGGAACCAAGACACGAATTCTGAGTGCTCAGAGCTGCACCTGGCACAGCAGGTAACCAGAGCTGTACCTGGCACAGCAGGTACCCAGAGCTGCACCAGATAACCAGAGCTGCACCAGATAACCAGAGCTGTACCTGGCACAGCAGGTACAGTGTCCTAAGGCACAGAGGGGCCTGAGCCCCATCGCCTGAGCTGGCTGTCCTGCCCCTTGGGGCAGCTGGGCTCAGTGGATTATGACAACCTGCAAACTTTACCCAGTTTCATGTTTAACAACAGGCTGCCCTGAGCTGGACAGGCAGTAGCCATCTGAGAGGTGAAGTGGAGGGCTGGGTGTGCCCCCAGCAGCCCTCCCCAGAGCCACAGAGCCACCCCAGGGTGCAGCACGGGGCTTTGTGCAAGGGGAGCAGATCTTACCCGGCAGGCCTGGTGTCTGCGATGGCTCGATCCACAGGGATCAGATCGCTGAGGTAGACATTGAAATTTCCTTCTTTCCATCTACTTTTTGCTTCTTCTTGTTTATCATCAGGGACAGCAACAGGATGTCCAAACTGGCCAGGAGCACGGGGGTCTCTCGGGGCGAGTGTTGCATCCATGGACAGGACTCTGTGCGTCCTGGGGTGGCTCCCTGCCTGCTCCTGTCCATCCTGGCCAGTGCCAGCTGCTCCAGGAGCTTCTCCTGCCTGCTCCTGCCCAATCCCACCAGTGCCAGCGGCTCCAGGAGCTTCTCCTGCCTGCTCCTGCCCAATCCCACCAGTGCCAGCCACTCCAGGAGCTTCTCCTGCCTTCTCCTGTCCATCCTGGACAGTGCCAGCCGCTCCAGGAGCTGCTTCTGCCTGCTCCTGCCCATCCCGGCCAGTGGCAGCCACTCCAGGAGCTTCTCCTGCCTTCTCCTGCCCATCCCGGCCAGTGCCAGCTGCTCCTGGAGCTTCTTCTGCCTGCTCCTGCCCATCCCGGCCAGTGCCAGCTGCTCCTGGAGCTGCTTTTGCCTTCTCCTGCCCATCCCGGCCAGTGCCAGCCGCTCCTGGAGCTGCTCCTGGTGTCGTACCCAGCGTCCGGCTCCAGCCACCCACGACAGCGGCCCGAGCAGCGGCAGTCGCAGCGTGGGCACCATCAGTGCTCTTGTCAGCAAGTTCTCTGTGCTTTCCACGTCTGGCCGTGGCGCTCCCCGCAGAGTGGGGCCCGCGGCGCGGGGCTGCGGGGCTGGCGGGGCTCATTCCCGCTTTGCTGATGAGGACGAAGCGAGTTTCGGAGGGCGTTTCTCCGCGTCCCGTGCGCGTCTCCTCCGGCTGCCGGCTCCCGCGGGCTCCGGGCGGCGCCGTGCCCGTCCCGCCGGGGGCCGGGGGCTGCCGGGGGGGCGGCGATGGTCCCGGGCCCCCGGCCCCGCGCCCGCCGGGGGCTGCTCCCGGCTCCCCCGCTGCCTTCGCCGGCACCCCGGGGCCGCGCCGGGGCCGCGCCCGCCCCAGTCCCATCCCCAATCCCACCCCCAGTCCCATCCCCATCCCCATCCCCATCCCCATCCCCATCCCCATCCCCATCCCCATCCCCGGCCCCGGCCCGCGCCCCGCCGCCTCCCGCAGCAGCCTCCCGCCCGCCTCGCCGAGCGAGAGGCGGAGCGCGGCCATGTCCAGCAGCACCCAGGCCACCGAGGCGGCGAACACGAAGGCCAGGGCCCGCCCGCTGCCGCGGAACAGCCGCCGCAGCCCGCTCATCCCGGGCGGCCGCGGAGCCGCCGGGCCGGCGGGGCGGGAGGCGGGCCGGGACCGGGCCCGGGGATGGGGCCGGGGCCGGGGATGGGCCGGGGATGGGCCGGGGATGGGGCCGGGACGCGGCTGACCCGCCCCACCCCGCGCCGGGACCGCCCGCGCTGGAACCCGAGCCGGGGACCCGCCCGGCCCCGGGGGGACACGCCGGGGGGAGCGGGGCTGTGCCTCGGAGGAGACAGCCCGGGGGATGGGTGGTGCAGCCGGGGGGACATCCCGGGCTCGGTGGTGCAGCCGGGGGGACATCCCGGGCTCGGTGATGCGGCCGGGGGCGCCTCTGCCCGAGGCTGTCTCGGGGGTCCCCGCCGGGGCCGAGGGGCCGTGGCTCGGGGGAGCCGTGCGTGTCCGTGCTCCACGTGGCAGCTGGGCTGAGCCGCTGCTGAGGACGTGGGTGTGTTCCACATCCCGCTCAATTACAGGGCACGGGAGCCACGCTGGCGAACACGGCAGCCTCCGGTGGGCTGAGCCGGAGAACGACAAGAAAGGAACGAGCGAGGAACCACCCTCCTGCTCCTGCCCCTGCTCCTGCTCCGGCAGGCTGGGACGTGGCAGGCTCTGCTGGCAGTGCTGGCTGTGCCCGCTGATCTGGAGGCGCAGAGTGTGCCGCCTGTCCTGGCTGTGCCAGCTGTGCCGTGTGTGCTGGCTGTGCCGGCAGTGCCAGCTCTGCTGACTGTCCTGGCAGCGCTGGCAGCTGAGGCCGGGGCTGCCTGCCGGCCCCAGGCGCTCCAGCCTGGGAGCTCAGGCGAGCAGGGCATCCTGAGAACGCCCCGGGCAGCCCCAGCGAGCCGGGTCTGTGTGGCTGCAGCCATGGGCTGGCACCCAGGGGTCGAACCTGCGCTGACCCCGGGCTCGGCTGCTGCGGGGTGCGGGGACACGCGCTG